TTTTTTTTTTTTTTTTTTTTTTTTTCTCTCTCTTTAGTGTCTCCTCTGTCTCTCTTTTCTTTTGTCCTTCTTATTTGTTTCTTTATAATTAATTAATTATATTAATTATATTAATAAATAAATAAATAAATAAATAAATAAATAATTTGTTTGTTGTTTGCTGCTGCAGCGTCCTGCATTAATATTATTTCCTTCTTTGCTGCTGCTAGAGTTAGCGCAGCAGCTAAAGCAGCAGCTAGTAATTGCGTCTGGTTGCTGCAGCTTGGTGCAGCAGCGGCAGCAGCTAGCAGATGCAGCAGCAAACCTACAGCTAGCTGCTGCTTATTTACCTCGTGCCTGGCTGCAGCAGCAGCAGCAGCTGCTGCAGCTATTTGCTGCTGAGCCTTATTTAATAAGAAAGACACTCCTTGAGTGTCTTAAGTTGCTGCTGCTGCATGCAAGTAGCTGCTGCAATGCATGCGCAACACAGCAGCAGCAGCAGCAGCAGCAGGACTCCCAACAACCAGGAGCAGCAGCAGCAGCAGCAGCAGGAGATGAAGACAGCAGCAGCAACCCATTAGAGACAGAAGAAGGAGACACAGACTACGATGGTGTCTCCTCTTCTGTTGCTGCTAGAGCTCGTAAAAAACAGCAGCAAGAGCAGCAGCAGCAGCAAGAGCAGCAGCAGCAACAACAACAACAAGAGGCCCGTTTCTGGCAGCAGCAACGGCAGCAGCTGCTGCAGCTGCTGCTGCTGCGGCTACAAGACAAGCTGCCTCTTGCTCGCAGCTGGTGTCTTAAGGTATTAGTAGATATAATAGAGAAAGGTGTCTTATCTGCTGCTGCTGTTGCTGCTGTTGCTGCTGCTGCTGCTGAGAGAGTTAAGGATAAAAGTTCTCTTGTTCGTGCTGCTGCACTACAACTTATTCTTGCTGCTATACAGCATGCAGTGCAACAAATGCAGCAACTGCAGCAGCAGCAGCAGCAGCAGGAGCTACTTATGCAGCAACCCTTCGTGCTGCTGCTCATAGACGAGAAAGGAGCATTTAGGGAACTTTATCAGCAGCAGCTGCTGCGTAAGCAGCAACGCCTGCTGCAGCAGCAGCAGCAGCAAGCTAAAGCAGCAATAGCGGCAGCAGCAGCAGCAGCAGCAATAGAAGATGGTACAGCAGCAGAAGGAGAAGCAGGTACTACTACTGCAGCAGCAGCAGCAGCAGCAGAAACAGCAACAGACGAGAACGCAGCAGCAAATACCCTTGCTACTACAACAACAGCAGCAGCAGCAACAGGAGAAACAGCAGCAGCAGCAGCAGCAGCAGCAGGAGAGGAAGAGGATATAGATCCTTTATTAGAGTTAATAATAACAGTAGAGGATGCATTAAATACTGCACTCTCCTTGTATGCAACAATTCTCTTCTTTTTTGTCTCCTTTTTTGTCTCCTTTTTCTCTCCTTTTTTGTCTCCTTTTTTTGTCTCCTTTTTTGTCTGCTTTTTTGTCTCCTTTTTGTCTCCTTTTTGTCCCGTTGTGTCTCCTTGTGTCTCCTTTTCTTTATGTGTCTCCTTTTTGTCTCCTTTTTTGTCTCCTTTTTGTCTCCTTTATTGTCTCCTTTTTGTCTCCTTTTTGTCTCCTTTTTTCTCTGCTTATTGTCTCCTTTATTGTCTCCTTTTTGTCTCCTTTTTGTCTCCTTTTTGTCTCCCTTATTGTCTCCTTTATTGTCTCCTTTATTGTCTCCTTTTTTTCTCTCCTTTTTTGTCTCCTTTTTGTCTCCTTTTTGTTTCCCTTTTTGTCTCCTTTTTGTTTCCCTTTTTGTCTCCTTTTCTTCTCTCCTTATTGTCTCCTTTATTGTCTCCTTTTTTGTCTCCTTATTGTCTCCTTTTTTTGTCTCCTTTATTGTCTCCTTTATTGTCTCCTTTATTGTGTGTATTTATTCAGGTGTATAAACATGTTAGTGTCTCCTGTAGATACAGACCAACGTTCTGCTGTTCGTTTTGTTGTAGATTGCTGCTGCTTGCTGCAGCTGCAGCAGCAAAAGTTGCTGCTGCTGCTGCGTCTCTCCCTTCGTGTCTGCTTCTCTAGGTTTGCTGCTGCAGCAGAGTTTGCTGCTGCACAACTTAGTAGATTATTTATACACCCTAATACTCTCTTGCTGCAGCAGCAGCTGCTGCTGCAGCAAAGACATCTTGCTGCTGTATTCAAGAAGAAGCACCCTTTGCTGCTGCAGCACGCCAAACTCCAGCAACAGCAGCAGCAGCAGCAGCAGCAGCAGCAGCAGGAGCAGCAGGAGCATGGGCATGAGACCCATCAATTGAATCCTCATAATCAGAAAAACACCAATAAG